GTAGATTGCTTGTGATGGTGGAATGCTTGAAAGATTCCAGTGGTTGAGAATGGGCCATAAGGAATCAAAGATTCTTTTCTTGTCTTCTTGGAATCTCCAAAGGACAATGAAAGAAAAATTTTATAATAGTTTGTTTCATCAAATTTTTCCTTTATAAATTAATAAAGGCATTATTAAAGGGCCCATGTTGAAATTCCACACACATCAAATTGCCTATCAAATTGGAATCTTTACTCCTAGAAAAAGAAAGTTGAGGTCCTAATCCCACTCTTATATTTCTCAAATCAACATTAGTTGTTCTCCACCAAAATGAATCTTCTGCTACATATTGATTTCAGAAGAGTAGCAAGGAACACTATTTTGCAGGGTCACCATCTTTTTGTTAGAAGATCACCATCTTGATTTAATCCACCTATGGCATTTCTCCTCTGTTTTGTATGTTAATGGATGAGCTACCACTACCTCCCATTTCAAGATAATCATGAACAAAAGGATATATCATAGTAATTATAATTTGTTCTCTTTCTTATCAAGTTAAAGTAGTAGATTTTTATTTCTTGAATTCCAAATAAAAAATTCAGCATCTCCTTAATTCAACTTGCAATTGAGATGTTGAATTAATGATAATGCATACACAAATTGGAGGAAATATGAGACATAAATTGCATCAGATTACCTACGAATCATTTGTATGAAGAATATTGAATCCAAAAGCCAATGATGTTATGCTTGAGATTAATTTGGAGGACTGGAAAGAATAAAGCTTTTGGCAATAAGTGGAGTGGAAGGCAATAAAAGTAGCCTCTTTGGGAGACTCTGCTTTCACAGTATAAATCGTTACCTTGTCGCAGCCTCCACTGCAGTGGTGCGTAGAAGCAATTCGTGGGGCTTTGCGTGCTGAATTCCTCTACGTTGCTCTTCTGTTCGTTTCTGCTCTCTCTCTCTCTCTCTCTCTCTCTCTCTCTCTCTCTCTCTCTGTGCCGGTAGGAGTAGTAGTATTTGTGCTACTCTGTTTTGCCCTGTTTTGTTGGGTGTGTACATGAGTAGGGGGGGGTGGGGGAGAGGGAGAGGAAGAGGAAAGAGAAGTGAAGCTGGGAAAGGCGGGGGAGCTGCTGGGGATCTTCGACTGCATCAATGAAGTCACGGCAGCGATCGCGGCAGCAGCGTCATCGTGGGAGGGCGAGATGAGCGAGCAGGCGTATCGTGTGGAGACGGCGCCGCGGCTGGCGCAATGGAGGATCGACAACATCTCCTCCTCCTGCACCTACCGCAAGTCCGACCCCTTCAAGGTCGGCCTCTGGAACTGGTACCACCACCACCTCCTCTTCTTCTGCAATCTGCCTGTGAATCCTTCGATTGTAGTCGATTGGCTCCAAACCAGTCCGAGTTCAAGATCTCTCAATCGCAAGTTAGCAACTTCTGCAGATAAATTAAAGAAAGGCTTGATTTTGGAATCAATCGCTGATTTGATTTCCTAGAATTATTCTGCAACTTGGTATGGTTGGGAGTTCTTTTTCGTTGGAGAGTTCTAATCCTTTAAAAGTACCCATTGAAGTTCTTTTGAGTTCAAGATTGCATCTTTAAGAGAGCTTGATGACCTTTAATTTTCGTGCCGAGAAGGTATCTCACAGTGGAGAAGAACAAGCAGCTGTATGTGAAGCTGTACCCCGAGATGTCGAGCCTAACAAGAGAGCAGCCACCGGTCGCCTCCTTCAACATCAAGCTCGTCTTCTCCTCGTCCCCTAATCGCCGGACCATCGTCCACCCAGGTCAGTGCTTCATGTCTCTTGCATCAGTGGCTCCTACGCCTGGCGAAACATTCGCTCTTACTCTTCTTATCTGCAGCCGTTTGTGACAAGCAGCTAAAGAACAACGATGACTTCGTGTGGGCAATCGACAATTCCTTCACTGGCAGATTCATTATTGACATCGAGTTCCTCGATCTGAAGACTGTGCCTCCATCTGTAAGCAAACAATCTTCTTGCTCACCTCTATACATGGTTCTAATCACAGGCAATTACTGCTTCGTGGAACAACAGGGTGGCGAGCCGTCCTCCATCTGGTCCAGCCACCACATCGAGAAGCACTCAGAGAACACAGCCCTCGCCTCCTTTGCTCAGATGCTGGCCGAGGGCATCCACACCGACATCACCATCAACGCCGCCGCCGATGGCAGCATCGGCGCCCACCGCGCCGTCCTGGCCGCGAGGTCACCGGTCTTCCGCAGCATGTTCTCCCACGATCTCAGGGAGAAGGAGCTCTCGACGGTGGACATCTCCGACATGTCGTTCGAGGCTTGCCAAGCCTTCCTCAACTACATCTACGGCAACTTCCAGCCCGAAGAGTTCCTCCGCCACCGGGTAGCGCTCCTCGGTGCCGCAGACAAGTACGACATCGCCGACCTCAAGGAGGCGTGCCATGAGAGCCTCCTGGAGGACATTGACGCTGTGAACGTGCTCGAGAGGCTCCACACTGCTTACCTCTACGGTTTGCCCAGGCTGAAGGGTGGATGCATGAGGTACCTGGTGAACTTCGGCAAGATTTATGAACTATGGGATGACTTCAATGCGTTCCTACAGACTGCTGACAGAGAACTCATAGCTGAAATCTTTCATGAGATTCTTGTTGCCTGGAGAGGCTTCTAAAATCTCTTAGTTGTGTATAAGAAATGCACTTATTTGGCTCAAACCCTCTATGTATGTATGTGTTGCTGATCAAACAATGTACAGAACTGTATCACCAAAGGTGTGTATGCATTCTTTAATTCAAGAACTTGCATGAAATAGAGAAACCTGGTTTTCATCATCTGTCTTCTTTGTTTGATTTTTGGGAATGTTTGATCCTTCATTGTGTTTTCATTAGAACCACAGGATGACCAGCTTGAAGCCTTGCACTGCAAATGATATCAGAAAGAAGCTCCCAATGCATCTATGCTGAGATAGTCCACAATGTGATCACTGTCATAACTTTTTTTTTTGCTTTAGTAGTCTTCATCATCAGTTGGGATAAAAAGTAAAGCTAAACTTAGCTTTCTTCATTCCCAACATCATCTTTTTCTAGTCTTCATGTATGCTCTGCAATGAGATATGTTGGTTGCTTTCTTATGTCACAAATCAAATACAGTTAAGAAGTTTCTTAGAAGGTGCCAAATCTGTGTGCTAATGAGAAGTTTCTATAATGCAGCAAGTTATCTAATAAAAGAATACAAGTCATCATACAGAAACTACCACAGTAACATTTTTAAGGATCTTCCAAAACCAATGTTTTTCCTAATATAAAATCCCTTTAACATATCTCACATTCGATATTGCACAATACCAATAAACTCAACGATCGAAGAAAACACACCGACGAAAGTGAAGTACGGCCAGCCTCGGTGTGAATGCCGCCGATGGCAATGCAGCGGTCAGTCGCCGGCAAGCAATCCCACAGGTGGACAGAATATGGTCCTCTATAGAGGGCCTACCAAACAGCAGCCATTTTACTCCCTAGTCTTGGCTCTTTTCATACTGAGACTGCTGTGGAAGGGGGAGACGGAACCCGACATGTGTGTCCCTTCATCACGAAGAGTGCCATTGATCATGGCAAGTTCTCGCAGTTGCTGCTGCTTAAAGAAGTCATGTGATTCCTCCTGAAAAATAAATATTCTTCTGCTTAACTTTTCAGTATCAAGTAAGCTAGAATTTGGGAAGGGGAAATAAAATACCACAGGCTTTAGCAAATCTTCAAGTATTTCACGAGCTTGCAACAGACGAGCATCAACAATTTCTACTGGCAGCTCAGCCTCTACCAGTATATGAAGTGGCTCACTCAAATGTTCATATCCTGGCTTCCCTCTCATCATCTCCTCCTAAGAAAAACACACTTAAAAGTCGGATCCCATTTCAAAAATCAATGACTATTTTTAGGAGACGGAAAAAGAATTAACAGTTCACTGTTGGCATTCCATTCCAAGTGGCAAGGAGTCTTGTTCCAGACAAGAAGAAAGTGCAAGTTAATTGGTAAACCTAAATTAGAGAAGAGAAGAAACAAACTTAAAAGTTGATATCACCTAAACCAGCAATTGACATAAACTTAGTAATCAATTGGACGTGAAAAATGGTGTAGCATCTAATTCATGACTAACGAATGAAGAGAAAATGATCATAAACAAAAGGAAGAATCTAATTCATGACCAACACTTTTTATGGGATCTCATTCACCAACACCATATACAACCTTTATTGTAGTTCAATTTTAATGATATATTGTTGAGGCATATATGTTTATTTAACATAGATTGTTGCAAAAACAGCATCAATATTTTACCTTGGCTAAATCTTTGATGCTTCCCCTCCCTCTTATAAGTATACGGCAGTCAGTATTTGCCTCCACTCGCTTTAGGGAGTTTCCACGAGGACCAAGGAGCCGCCCAACAAAGTTATACTGTATAAACAGAACTAACTAGAATTGTGATGTGGGTTTGGATTGTAATAAAGCTCAAACTTAGGCAAAAAGCAGTAACTTACAGTAGGGTATTTGTCTATAGGTATATCGACCCTGATAGTTTTCTTCACAATGAGACCAGAGGCACTACTTTGAGAGCCAAGCCAACCATGTGCAGATGAAGGTTGTATCAACCCCAACCCCTGCATGTTACATCTAATCATTTTAGTGAAAGGAACTACAACAAACATGAGACAAGAGTATTGGACATTAATGAAATTCTAACAAATTTTTTTGCATGAATTTTGAGGATGTAAGGATAAAAATTATAAACATAAAAGATGAAAGTCAATAGTAAACTAGCAAACTATATTAAAAGAAGTTGGAAAAGAAATGCAAATTCAAACAGCAATATCTATTTTTGTAAGGTCTTGCAGATAAATCTTCCTTGTTTTTTTTTTTGCAGTATGCAACTAAAATATATGTAAAATTTAAAAGATGCATAAGCAAATCCTGGAGCTACAGCATTGCAAAAGATAAAGTTAACATCAATCAGGAACACCAACTGAGGCATCACCAGAAACAGGATAATTATTGAAAAGCTTTGACTAAAAATCAACTCAAACAGCAAGTGAATGATAATTCGACGCAACATCAGGCAAACATGCTTAACTCTCCTAAATTTGCAATCATGAAGCCAGAGGGTAAAGCTCTGGAAGAGACATATGAAACACTATAATATAGGTTAAGAACACAGAGAACCAAGAATAGGCATTAAGGTTAGCACAAGATGTTAAAACACCAAGATATAAAAAGTCAAACTAGGAGCTAATTCAAGTTAGCATGAGACTTCAAAAAAATCTTTCTGGAGAAGCAAATTTAGTTACAAAGAGGAATTATGTTAATGGTTAGTGTCCATACTTCAGACTGAAATGCTGATGCCCACCCATTCATCTCAGTTGCCCCTCCATTTGAAAGCAATCCTCCAGTAGTCATTGGGCTACCATGTTCAAGCCCACTTTGGTCTAAAAGAGATGCATTTCCCAAGAGCATTGTAACACGTAATATCTCTGCTTCAAAATGTCAATTTCAAGAATAAATTGTACAGGTTAGCATTGTTATGAAATTAGTAATCTAAAAATGCACAGACACGACAGATTGTTAGTTTAAAATCAGTAGCACCGCTGATACTTTTGGTTAAAAATCTTAGGTTATATGCTATAAAATCTTTTCTTGGATTGACTAAACCAGTACAAGTTGTATATAAGCTACAACTACATTTGTAAAAGGCTGCCATAAAAGTCAAGCCAACATGCTGCCCATAGTGAATTACAAGCAAAGACGAAGCCATCCTCGGTATTTTGAGCAGAGGATTAATGGTTAAACTGTCGACCTCATTATGATATCAACTCTTATTTTTGAAGGTTTGCTGTCTTAAACATAGAAGCAGATGAAAGAAAGGATTTTGCGTTCAAGAATCTCCTTTTCATTATCATTGTGTCTGCAGCTACAATTCTTGATTTCACATTGAAACATAGCCTTCATGTTTTGCACTGAGTACATGACCAATCTCATGATTGTTTAAGGTCACATATTTATTTTCTAACATAAAAATCACCAGTCTCTAATGTGAAGCAATCCAACTCAGGACATCTCTAGAAAAGTACATGTCAACACATTAATGAATTTCAACTGTTTTGCCATCTCCGGTAAATAAAGGCAATGACCATTATTATAAGTGAAGCATGTCCTTCTCCAATTAGATTCAGATCAATGAAGAATTGAAAGCACACAACAAGCACTATAGGTGCATGAAGAAAAAACAAAAAAGAAGGGAGGGAAACAATGTTTAATTGACAAGGAGAAAAATAGAGAGGCAAAGGAGTAAAGAGACAAACGAGAGATAATTTAGTGCAGGAACAAGAAAATAACGAATCGTTCTGTGCAAGGAGAGGGAGGAAATAGGAGAGATGAGTGTAGGATGAAGAAACAACAGAAAAGGGGAAAGGGAGAGGAGCATAATATAAGCAAACCAAAATTTCTTTTCCTCTTCAACCCTAGACATAAACTTCAAAAACAAAGAAGAAGGTTGACCAATTACTTTTTAAGGGTAAAATAGGAAGAATTATGGAATAAAGGGCCTTCTGTGGTTAATTCCAGATATAGGGGCTAGAGTTTTCTAGGTAAATCAGCCAATTAACGTCCATTTTCCAAAGCCTAAATAGAATGAAAAAGATCTAAGTTTTCCAGCATAAACTAAGAAATATTTGCTCTACAAGAATTTCTAATTCCAAATGAGAGAATATCTCATCTGATGCACCCCAAAGGCGGCAAGAGAAATGATGATCATGTGCAATAATTGTGTGATCTCCAAATATTTGATTCTTTTCAGGATCAGCAATTCTAGTACTTAGAACATACATGTCCCTCAAATGCAAATAATTTGTTATACTTCTGTACGATGACAATGCCAATCATAAGCGAAACAAAAAACTACATAGTAAATACCCATAAAAAAGAGAATGCACTAAAGAGGGCTCAGATAAGATCCTCTTAATAGAAAAAACAGGGCATTAAAGAAATTTTGAAGGTTCAACAAGCTACCATTATAATGCATCTAAATTTACTAAAATAAGTTAAATCTGATACTTACCCTGGTTCAGTAGACGATAACTATGTGGAAGCACTGGCATAAAAGGACTCAGCTTATGGCGCTCGGCCAGTAATTCTGAGAGATACCTGTAAATATATCATCTCTTATCACTCACTATCCAGTGTCTCGACACTTCCAATAATGCAGAAAAAGAACGATCCCTTGACTGAAATATCAGCAATTCTAGAAATATATTAGCAGATCTTGTGAAGAAAGTGCATCCAAAAGGTCACTAAACAGGAAAGAGATCAACTCAAGTAACTGTAGAACTCTGTAAATAGACACCATGATGACAAAATGGCTAGAAGACTGATCGGATTTGAGAATAATTCCGAAGCCAAAAGATTTAAAGATCACAACTTTATGCTCAACAATCTGAACATAAAAGAGTAGCTCTCACAAATTAAAACAGCATGCTGAAAAAAAAAAGGAATATAATAACCCCTTCATCGGAACTCTTAACAACGAAAGCCAAAATGATCGGTGACAACCACGTTTGGCAAAAAACGAGATTTTGGGAGGAAACATAGGCGCCTTACTTCTCCTGCTCGGCAAAGGCGCTGGCGGATGAGCGGATGCCGGAGGGGGAAGGGGAGTAGGCCATGTACCTGCCGGAAGACATGGTTCCGGCGAGATCGGCGGCAGAAACTGGCCAGGTTCGGGTCTTCGGAGATACGGATCCTGGCGAGATCTCGATGGCCTACGGCGCTCCAGGATCGGCTGGTGGAGAGAGGGGCCAGGAGGCTAGAAGGAGCACGGAAAGAAAGAACAGAAAGCGAACTATATATGAGAGATGGTAAAGAAGAGGGACAGGAGACAGACTCAATACAGTTCACTGTGTAGTACTAGTAGTAAGGGGTTTTAATTAAGCTTTTGTAATCTTTCCGTAATGTTTTGCAGAGAATTTACTTTGATTCTCCGGAATTCATGTGATTGCACATTAAATTGCATAAGCTTGATCGTTCCGTAGTTTGATTATCTACATGCACTATGAATTAACTAACATAATGAGATAACATAAATAGTTTAATATTTTTTCTCCTGACTTTTTGAGAAAAAAAGATATTTAAAGTACATCAAGTAAAAATTTGTATATCTGTTATTTTTCCAACAGTTGATTTTAAAAAACAAAGAAAGAAAGGTCATGTTACATAATTAACTGTGATCCAACTTCAGGAAATTGTATGAAATTGATGGCATTTATATCTCTCCACAGCTAAAATTTCATGTGATTGGTTGATAATTTAAAGCTTAACAAAGAAGTCACCTTCAAATATAAAAATTCAGATTTAACAATATTCTCTACTGTAGGTTTGGAATCTATTTGAAGGATGTTTTGTTGTGAGAATTCTTCACCTACCCAGAATGAACCCAGCATTTGATAGGTAGCCTTTTTAGATGCTAGAAAATAAAACATGAGGTTCAATTTCAATCTATGCTGTTCACAACTTTTGAATGGATGTTACTGGTCAATGTACAACCTTCTCAGATGCATAATATAGAAGACAAAACATCAATTTGTATCTCTGCTAAATTCACAATATGCATAATATAGAAGATAAAACATGAATTTGTATCTCTGCTAAATTCACAAGATGCATACTAGAGAAATAAAATGAGTTTCTATGATATTCCACAACTTCTGAACGATACTGCTTGTCAATTCGGCTGTAATATGAGTTTCTATGCTCAGTGGTACGGATCATGAAAGGTTTGTGCAGTTGCTAGTACAAAGCTCTCATGAAGCAAGAAGCATGCCAACCAATAGCCTGACCTAATTTTCCTCCTCTTCATAATGGGTCATGAATCCCGGTGCCGAACCTGACTTCCATGTACAACCTCACATGGCGCCCCCCTGCTACCAATCTCAGGCACTTTTGTATTGTATTGTATCTCTAGATCTTAAAGCACCATCAATGGTGGTTTGGAGGCTATGCAGCACATGCAAAGCCATGTTTTCTTTTCTCCACAATTGGAGTTTCTGCTTAATATTGTATTTGTTCTTTAGTGAATGACTCAGTGCTCCAAAAATATATTGTTCAAATAAGATCTCTCTACCTCTATGCAAATTTTTAGTTTACACACAAAAATCTTGCATTTTCTTGACTTCTGAAAGCTACAAAGTTACTGACTGTTAATCATATTTAAAAAAAAAAATACTCACCTTGAAATTTTTAGTGGAATTCTTTGTGCCGTACCTTGACTGCATGCCTGATCTAGATGATGAGTCTGACAAAATAGGACATGAAGTGACAGATTGCTTGCAAGAAGTCGCAAGAGGCTTATTTGTCTCTATCGGACAGGCTGTGATTGAGAGACAAGTCAATCCCTGATTATATGCGCTGAAAAAACCAGCAACATCCTGCAGTGTTATACTAATTAACTGATGCTGTTTCGGTTGTTAGGTGGTCGTGCATGGTTTAAGCAAAAAACAACGCAAGGGTTCTGATAATGAAACCACACTTCTAAGCTAAGATTTCTTCTGTAGCGTCTAGGGATAAAGATTATCTTCCTTAAATACTCAAATTAGTCCCAAACTCCCCCATCTGCAGATTACATATATTATTCAATGCTTTCCTTCGATTGAAAATACCGACCTATAGCCTACAGTTTATTTCGAATGGCTTAGTGTTGAAAATGACTGGTGTGGACTCGGTCATAGAACACATGAGATGAAGAAATAGTTTGGCAAGGCGATGCAGAATTCTGTTTGTCAATGGCTTAGTCAAAATCCATGTAATTGATTAGCAGGGTTGTCTGAGTTTGGGAGAGTTATATAATTACAGGGGAGAAGTGGTTCGATATCTGCAGAAGAGTTAAATGTCTTCTGCAATAAATAATAATCAAATTGCTCTATTAGAGGTCCAGAACAAATCCATTGAGCTTAAGGATCATACCCAAGATTTTTAGGATTATTTTTGGGTCGGTTTAAAGATTTATGCACATTATGAATATTTTGATCGAGAATTCATATTTTGATCGGCTTTTGTGACCTCAATAATGATTGGATAAGGGTTAAAAGAAAACCAACCTTAATCGTGTTTTCTTCATTGTTTTAAGTTAACCCATGAGTTGGTATATAATTTTAGATGCTCGAGTATTATTCAAGGAAAGAGGTCAATTTAGGGCATCAATCAAAGAAACGAACGATATGATGTAATTATTCTCATTCATTAGAAACGCCAAAAAGATTAATCAAAAGAGAAGTTAAACGAAGGTACCTTCAAGAACAAACCCTCGATTTGATCTCAAGAACACCATCTCGGTCGCAGCGAATGAACTTGGACGCCGGGAAGAGTATTCCGGTCAAGCAGAGAAGGAAATTGGTTACGAGATAGGGGGAGGGACCCACCGGTCACCGCAGGCGCGTCGCCGGCTCTGGTCGGCGGCGACGGATGAAGTGAAGAGGGGGCTGAGGAAGAGGCCGTGGAAGAAGAGGCCGCAGAGCTCGAGGGCCTCGCGCTTGAGCCCTTCCATCTGAGACTCGAGCGCCGATGCTAGAGGTAGAGGATGAAGAGGAGGAGGAGGTGGTGGTGGTGGCTAGGGCTTGGGAGATTTAGGTCAGAGGATGGTGTTCGATCGCGGCAGCTTCCGCTATGGGGATATCGACGACGACGTGAAGCGTGCTTGCTGGCTCTGCCATAGGTCGAATAAATGGGAAGAGAGCAGAAAAGGGGAGTAGTTGCCGTGTAATTGGAATAAACGAGACTGAGATCGAGAGAGCAGAGATTTAGTCGAGGAAGAAACGGAAAAGAACAGAGAGGTTGAATTGGAGGCGACGGCTTCCGGGTATACTGGAAGGGCTCAAGATGGGTGCAACGGTCGAACACTTTGCAGGCGTGTGTCAACGGTCGAATACTGGGTATTTAAACATCCCATTTGACCGTTGGGGGGCGTGGCGGGTTCTTGGAGAACTGCCTTAAGCGCACATGGTGTGGTTATATATATATATATATATATATATATATATATATATATATATATATATATAGTATTCTTTCATCGATACCATCCAGTTTATTTTTTTCAAATAGTAATCTTAATTTAAAAATATTTATCTTAAATTTTTGTTTACATGTTATAATATTTTAGTCCATTATAGTGTTTTTATCTATTATAATGTTTTGACCATCACTAAAGTTTACTTAAAAATATTGTAAGTGATCTAAACATACTTCTAACCATAATCAAACCAATTATAAGCCTATAAATATGGTATTATAATATTTAATAAGCAATGATAATCAAAGAGGTATGATATAATGTTATTTATAATATTTTTTTAATGATATTTATAGTATTTTTAGTATATCAATAAAATACTATAATTACTATTAAAAAGCATCATAAATGAGTCAATGAAAGCACTATAACAATTGAAAATTAATAAAAAATGGAAGAAAAAATTTGACAAAAAAACTTTGAAGGGTAAGTTGGATATTTTTAAATTAGGGGTATTGTTTGAAAAAAGAAAGAAAAGAGGGTGTATATTTTGAGAAATAGGCAAAATATGAGTATTTCTTAGAAAAATCACACTATATATATATATATATATATATATATATATATATATATATATATATATATATATATATATATATATATATATGATTGTTTAGAATATCTATTCTCCTCTTTCTAGCCTATCCAACTCAAAAAAATTTTCTAAGATTATTGAATGATTATGATTGTCCAATACACTGACTAAGTTGGGAGCTCATAGTAGTCTACTTTCAAATCAAAGTGTTAGGAAGTCTAGGGTTTAAGTAAAGATTCTCTAAAAATTATACCAGGAGCATACCTAATAAAATCAATTTTAAGTTATGTTAATAAAGGATTTGCATGATTTGGTCAAGTAGCTAAAATAAAAAAAATAAGAGAGAAAAAGGTCCCTAAGAATGCAACTAAAGAGTTAAGATTATACTAAATATTAGAAATGATTGTGTGTATTGTTCAACCATTTGATTATGCAGCTAACCAATTTTATATGAAGTTATAAAGTTATAAAGGGTGGCATAATATTGATTGAGTGAGATCTGAGTGTTAGAGTAATTTATTGATTGAGTGAGCATAAAATATCATTTATCACATCTTGTTTCCTATGTTAGTTACATATCCATAATTGATAAAATATACAAAATGATTGGGCATGAAAGGGTGGCATAATATTGCCATATTTTCTCTCTCTTTTGGCAGTGTAATTTGAACAAAGTGAGCAGGCATTACATTGCATTGTCTTGAAAACTTCAAACAATGGCCATTCCATATGTTGGCAAACTTAACATTCCTCAATCACAAAGCCACCACCTGAATCACATTTGAACTGTGTGCAATGCCATCCAAGAAGACACTTGATGGTTGGGATAAGCATCACAAAAGCAGTCAATGTCAAGTCCATTTCTTTGGCCATGGTTTTCCAATTTGTATGGTGTCTACAGCTCAACTTTTTGCAGTGCTCAACCCATTACTATTTCTCAATGGTTGGCATCAGATGGAGAATAAATACCTAATTGCAACACACACAGGTAATGTGGACCTTTGATTTGACAGGACTTGTTATTGCTTCCCAACAAAATCTCCATTCTTAAGTTTCCTTTTCTTTGGACTAAATGCAATTTTCTTGCATGGTAAAATTGATTGATGCACTCAATTTGTGAACTCAGTTGGCCTTCTACTTTTCTTGTGTAATCTGTCATATTTCTTTTGCAATCTGTATAATATTCCAATGGATAAACAATCCAAACTATAGCTTAGTTGACAAAGCTTCCAATCTCAGCAGCTCATACTTTGAAATAGCACCAAAAATACATGATTTGTTCTTGCAATTTGTGTTAATCCTCGACTTGCAAACGATATCATCGGACTTAGTGGTCATTGAGATTCGTGCTGGATCATCTACTCGTAGACAGAAGTAGCATTAAATTAAGGGGAAAAAAAGCTGTTAATTCAATTTAATATGAACTTAATTTCCGCCGATTTCTGTTGCTCGGAGACAGGCAGTGACAGTGAAGGGGGAGAGAGAGAGAGAGAGAGGAGGGAGGTCGGTTAGAAAGGCGGTACG